TACTGTTGCTGCTGCTGCTGCTGCTGCTGCAGCTCATCCGGCCAACGGGCGGACGGCGTTTGGCGACGGGTCTTCTCTTCCAGCTTCTTTTTTTAAAAAAGTGAGGAAACAAACTCTACACTTTCGCTTTATTATATATTTATTTATTTTTTTTTATCTGTTTATTTATTTATGTATTTATTTCTGTTTTCTTCTAACAGCTAATTTCGAGCGGAGCGGAGCCCCCCTGGCACTTCAGTGTAGAGACAGTCCAGCTTGAGGGGCCCCGAAAACCCAGAGGGCCCCTGGGGGCCCCCCAGGGAGGTCCCCAGGGGGGCCCCCAGGGGGGGCCCCAGGGGGGCACCCAGGGGGGCACCCCAGCAGGGGCCCCTCAGGGGGGCCCCCAGGGGGCCCCTCGGGGGGCCCCCCTGGCCCTTAAAAAGGTGTCAGTGGGTGCACTTGACTTTGGGGCCCCCGAGGGTTGTATCTTCTTGCCTCCTTGGGTGATGGAGGCCCTGGGGCTGCAGTGAGTGTTTATTAGAAGTTCAAAATAAATAATTAATTAATTAATTAATTAATTAATTAATTTAATTAGATAATTAATTTTGTTGCTTGAGTTACTGCTTTTATTCGGGTTAACTCGACCAGGCTGCGCTGCTGCAGCAGGCAAACAAACAGCAGCAGCAGCAGCAGCAGCAGCCCCTGCTGCTGACTGGCTGGCAAGCCTGCTGCTGCTGTTGCTGCTGCTCCCGCTCTTGTTTTTGCTGCTTCTGCTGCTGCTCCCCTGCAGCTAGTCCTGTGCCTTCCCGCTTCCACTGCTCTCTCCGTTACTGCTGCCGCTGCTTCTCCCCCCGTTACTGCTGCTGCTGCTCCTTCCGTTACTGTTGCTGCTGCTGCTGCTGCTGCTGCAGGAGCGGCTCTCCAGTGTTTTGCCGCCTCGAGAGTTTGCCAGTTTGCAGCTCTGTGCGTCTGAGGCCAAAAGACAAGACCTTTTTTGCTGCTGCTGAGAAGGCGGGGGGCCTCCAGGTGCGAAGCATTTAGTTTCCTGCAGCTGCTGCTCGGGGCCCCTGCTGCAGCAGCAGGGGGCCCCTACAGCAGCAGCAGGCGGCCCCTGCAGCAGCAGCAGCAGCAGCAGGGGGCCCCCCTTAGAGGCCCAAAGGGCCCCTTCCACAGCCCAGGGGGCCCCTCTAGAGTCCTAGGGGGCCCCTCTCAAGGCACAGAGCAGGGGGCCCCCGGGGGCCCCCAGCTAGGGACTCTGGGGGGCCCCCAGGGGCCCCCTGGGGCCCCTAGGTGGGGCTTATAGTCATTTTTGCTGTTTTGTGATTTATTTGCAACTCTAAATAGCAAATGGGAATTCTTCTGTTGCATTTAATGAAAGTAATAAATCATTTAATGAGAATAATAAGTTTTTTTATTAAATTAATAAATTATTTAGTGAGAATAATAAGTTATTAAATGAAAGTAATAAATTATTTAATGACTATAGTAACTTATTGAATGAAATTAATAAATTATTTGATGATAATGATGAATTATTTACTGATAACAAATTATTTCATGATAATAATGAATTATTTAATGAAAATAATGAGTTAATTAATGAAATTAACAAATTATTTCATGATGATAATAATTTTTTTGATGATGATGAAATATTTAATGAAAATAATAAACTATTTGATGATAATAATCTATTTAATGGTAGGAATAAATTATCTAATGATAATAATGAATTATTTTATGATAATAAATTACTTAATGATAATAATGAATTATTTGATGATAATAAGTTATTTAATGAAATAATAAACTTTAAGTTTTTGTCTTTTGCTGCTTCTGCACAGAGGGCCCTAGAAAAAGAGCTTCGTTTTTTTTCTTCTCTTACTGTGGGGGCCCTCATTCCCTTAAAGCTGGAGGGTTTTGTCTTTTTGTTTTTGGTCGAAGGCCTCTTAGATGGTGAGTCTGCTAGGGTTTAGGGTTTAGGGTTTACGGGCTAGGGTTTAGGGTTTACGGTGACGTGCTAGGGCTTCGGGTTTATGGGCTAGGGTTTAGGGTTTCGGGTTACGGGCTAGGCTTTAAGGTTTATGGGCTAGGGTTTAGGGTGTACGGGCCAGGGTTTGGGGTGTGGGCTTTATGCTTTACGGGCTAGGGTTTAGGGTTTAGGGTCTAAGCGTCACGGGCTAGGGTCTAGGGTTTAGGGTTTAGGGTTTGCAGTCGCTGGTTTAGTGTTTACAGGCTAGGGCGCATGGCCTCGGGGCTATGGGCTAGGGTTTAGGGTTTTTTAGTTGGGGCCTAGGGCTGAGGGTTTAGGGTTTACGGGCTAGAATTTAGGGTTTAGGGGCTAGGGTTTAGGGTTTAGGGGGCTGCAGCAAACGCGGTTGCGCTGCCAGGGTTTGGGGCCTCTTCGTGGCCGGCGGATATGTTTTTTTTTCAATTCTTGCTTTTTCTTTTTGTTTTTAGATGCAAATAAATCCCCTTTATTTGTTTAATTTTCACTCTCTCTCGCTCTAATTATATCTCTTTTTATTTCTTCTTTTTCTTTTATGATTCTGCCTTTTCAGAAAATAATAAAGAAGTGCCAAGGGCCTCCATTCAAGACACAGACGTGGCCCTCCAGCTGCTACCCCTAGAGGGGCCCCCAGAGGGCCCCCCCGGGGGCCTCCCAGGGGGGCCCCCTGGGGGGCCCCCTGGGGGCCCGCAAAAGGGGACCCCTGAGGGGCCCCCAGGGGGGCCCCCAGGGGGACCCCCATAGAGGGCCTTTGAGAGGGCCCCATAGGGGCCCGCCTAAGGGTCTTCATACCAGAAAAGACCTTAGAGTAGACCCCATATGGGCCCCTAGAGGGGACCCCAGAGGGGGAATTAGAGGGCCCCCAAGGGGGCCCCCAGAAGGGTCCGGGGCCCCAAAGGCTTATTAAAAAGGTTCATATCCTAGAAGCCCTTTTGGCTTTCTTGGCAACTCCAAAAGAGTCTTCAGGGCCCCTCATGGGCCCCAAGGCACCACTAGACTCTGGGGGCCCCCATGGGGCCCTAGGGGCCCCTGGGGTGGAACAAAGGGCCTCTTAAAGGGCACCCCGGAAGGGCCTATTAAGGGGGCAGCCCCTTAAAGGGTCTATCTTGGGGGGCTTCCTAAAAGGGGCCCCCTGAGGCTCCTAAAGCCTCCATCTCCTTCTTTTGAGCTGCTGCTGCCATGCCTCTGGGCCCTTTAGCGGCCCTGGGGGGCCCCAGTACCCTGAGAAAGGTCCCTGGGGATTCCTTGTTTGCCGTGGAGCCCTGGGGGCCCCTTGAGTTGCTGGGGGCCCCCAGGATGGCCCTTGGGCCCTTTGCTGGCTTTCTTTTTCCCCAGCTGAGGCGCCTCGTTGACATTTACACTTTTTTGATATTTTTAATTTTAAAAATGAAAGAAGAGGCCCAGAGTAGGGCCCCAAGTGGTGGGGCCCCCCGCCCGCAACACCCGGGTCGGGGGCCCCACATAGGGGCTTAGGGGGCCCCTACCTGGGGGCCCCCTTTTCCTTCCTCTGTGGAATCAAAATCACTTAGACTGTTTTAATTTGTTTTGTAATTAGTTTTGATTTTTTTCTCCTGCGTTTGACGCTGCAGCCAGTGCATTTTTGGCCCGCTGGGGCCCCACAGCAGCAGTGAAGGCAACAGCGGCAACACCAACAGCAGCAGCAACAGCAGCAGCAGCAACAGCACAAGCAGCAGCAGCAGCAGTGCTTCTAAGGTCTTTCTGAAGTAATTTGTTTTAGAAAAGAGGGGGCCCTTTCTCCGTGAGCGCTGGGCCCTGTTGGCACTGTGGGGCCCCCTCTGCAATGGCGCCCAAGGCCCGCAGCCCTGCTGCTGCTGCAGCAGCAGCAGCAGCAGCAACTAGTGAGGCGGCCTTGGAGGTGGTTCCCGCCAAGGCTCAGAAGAAGCAGAAGAAGGCCCCCTCCGCCCAGCAACCAGCTGCTGCAGCAGCAGCAGCAGCAGCAGCTGCTGCTGCTGCTTCCCCGAGCGCTGCTGCGCAGCAGCCGGAGTCGAAGAAGGAAAAGAATAAAAAAGAAAAACAAAAAAACCCAGAGTCGGGGGGCCCCCCAGAAGCGGCAAGCAGTGGGGGCCCCCCTGAGGGCCCCGGGGGAAAGCCCAAGAAGGGGCCCCAGCAGGGGGCCCCTCCCCGGGAGAGTGCTGCAGAAATTGAGGAAAACAATGAAAGTGGCTGAGGGCTGCTGCTGCTGGAGGAGCAGCACGGAAGCCGCATGCATGCAGTTGGCGCTGCGCGTCGACTCAGCTTGCTGCTGCTGCTGCTGCTGCTGCTGCTGGCCTGTGCGTCTGGCGGTTTGCCGCTAGCTGGATGGCAGCAGCAGCTGCTGCTGCTGCTAGTGTCCAGCTGCAGCAAACAGCAGTGAGCTGCAGCAAACTGGGAAGCAGGCCTTAGGGCACAAAGCCCATTCTTTGCAAGACAGTGATCATAGTTTGGTATTTGAGTTGTTCAAATCTTTGTTTAGAATACTTTTTCAAATACTTCTTTTTGAGTTTATTGTAAGTCTTTTTGAGCCTCTTCAACTCGCTGTCCCCCCCAAAAAGCTGAACAAGACTGAAGTAGCTGCTGAGGTGCTGCTGGGGATCTTCGAGGGCGTCTGAGTTGCGGTGTACGTACACCTCAGCGGCTTCCGGGGCTTCCTGCCACTTCTTGTCCACTTCGGGGGCGTTTGAGTTGCGGTGTACGTACACCTGAGCGGCGTCCGGGGCCTCCTGCCACTTCTTTTCCACCTCTTCAGACTTCTCAAAAAAGTCTTTTTGCTGCTTCCAATTCAGCTTAAGTTGAACTCCTAAGGCCCCCCGCAGAACCCCCAGCCAGCCAGCCAGCAGGGCCGCCAGCAGCGCCCCCAGGCGCAGCCCCATGGGCCAAACTGCGCTGCAGCAAAGCAAAAAAATTCAAGTTTTAGAATTTCGGCGAAGACAAAATCCTTGAAGAGGCATTTTCGTGGCGCCGCGGCCGCATCGACGCTGCCGACGCCCCTGCTGCTGCTGCTGCTGCTGCTGCTGCAGGACCTGGCTGGAACTTGGAAAAAAAGTAGTTTTAATAATTATTTTTAAAATTTGTAATCAAGTTTGCAGCAGGATGCGGGTCAAAGCAGAAGGCGGAGGCCACCCGCAGCGGTCTGGGCTGAGGCCGCCGGCCTCAGGATCGCGCGCCCGAACAGCCCCCGACGCTGTCTTCTTCCGAATCGTCTTGAAGTTTCAAATTGCAAAATATACTTCAAATTGCATTAATTGAATGAAGTATAATCCTTCAACTGGCGCCTGCTTATGAGACTGGTTTTATAGGTGTCACACTCCTTGGGCGTTTCTGCGCACAAGAGCTGACGCTGGGCAACTTCAAACACGAAACTGGTCCAAAAGAACCTATTAGGAAAACTCAACCATCCAGAATTAGTGCATACGTTTTTTGCAATATTTGAATAAGTTTTTTAGGGGCAAAAAGTTCCCTTTTAGGGCAATTCTGGGGTTGAAGAGAGCAGAGCAACACAGCGCGTGTGTGCCGGCTTCCTTGGAGTGAGCACTGCGGAAAACCAATTAAAAGGAGGAATATCTTCCAGAATTTGTGAATATTTTTATGCAAATTGATTTTATTATTATAGTTAATAAGAATACATTCACTTTTAATGCATATGCCGTCACCACTGGTACAGTCCACTCCTCTGGCTCTTGTACAGGTCTAGTAATTCCAATTTTTTGTTTTTTCATGTCAGATCACAACAGTTTTTGCTGAAATATATTTTTTTAGGCTTTAATCTGCTCGGATATACACTTTTTTCTCATTTTTGTGACTACATGAGGTCATTTTACGTTAATTTGAGATTTGCAGTTGCCGCAGCCACTTCGAAACTGGCATATCTGAAGTCCTTTATACTACACTCTCAGGCTTGACAAGAATGAAAATTTTAATTTTTAAATTTCGCAGCAAGGTTAACTACGCAGCTAGAGCTCGCAATTCTTGTCTAGTTAAAAAACGGAAAGCAAAAAATATTTCAACAAAATATAATACATTTGAGAAGTTTATCAACTCCCCTATGTGTCAGTTTACATGAATCTGCTGCTTATGAAAAACTAGAATATAATTCGTCAATAAAGTCGTCAGAACTTCCGAACAATCAGAAAACAGAAGTCCTGCATAGCACAGCTTTGCTTCAGCGGTGATCCTGCACGCCTTATTTGAAGAAGTCTAGCGAATTAATTGCAATTTGGAGAAAATCCAGTTTCATATTTCTCATTTTTTCAGTCTAAAAATTATTAAAAAGTGCTGTTGAGGCCACCAGAGGGGCAATTTAAGTTGGCCTTCAGTTGCAGCCAAAGCCACAGGCTTTAGCTTTTAAAATCCTCTTCAGCTCTCAAAGCTAATAGTGAGAATTTCATCAAATTGCAAAAACAAAATCAAAAGTTGCAAGTTCAACTGCCACGAGCTGGACAACGACTGATCCATTTACAAACGTGCTTTCTTTTCCTCCAAAAGAGATTCTTTGGACGAAAAGAAAGCATGTTTGTTTTGCAATAATAAGGGAAATAGTTCTTTTGTTTGAATTCATCAAAGAACCAAACATTCAGCTTTTTCCCACTGAGATAGATCTTCCAAGCTCCTGCAAAGAGTTAGTAAAGTACATTAAACTTCCTACTAAGCTGAATCTAAAAGGGTATTTATTTCTTCAGGAAGTGGAAGAAAACCACTAAAAAGCTACACGAGTTGCAAACATTTTGAAAATTGAAGGACTATAAAGCAACAAACAGGAAAAATAATGGTATCCAGACAGCAAATCCTGTAGAAGACGCTTTCACTATTTCATTTTATGTTTTAACGTACCTTTGAGCCCTGTTTTGAGGCATTTTAAATGAACTTTTTTGGAATTGACTTTGTGGCATCCTGCTGAGTGTCAGTGTTTCGTTTTACCTCTTTGATTTACTGTATCCCAACTCCTTCGCCAGGTTATTCCTGACGCAAGCCCTCATTGTGACAAAAAGAAATCAAAGAAAGCATCACTGTCGTCTTTTCTTGAAATAAAAAGCAGGGAGCATTTGAAGTTGTTCTTTAGCTTTTCCCTCTTGCAGCTTTAAGAAATTCATTCTATCTTGGTCCAGATTAGGCTCCTTTATATTATAATTTCGTGTCTCTTTTAAGTTCTCTATAATAGGAAGCCCGAACTGGCAAGTACGGCAAACCAAGGAACCGGTCAAGTTGCATGCGACTCTGCCGATGCAGCCAGTGAAGGAAAAGGAACTGTTGAATTCGTCTTAACCATTCTCAAGAGTTTCCGGTTTGTGTTTTCTGAAGCAAATGTGGCTTTTCAGTTCAAAATTGCAGCAAACGGAAACGTAGGAAGGCTTGATGCCATCTGTTTTACTGTACGCTCTCGGATGCCTCTGCACTGATCTAGATTTGACACCAACTTGTTGTTGTTGTTTCTTCGTTAGCTCACAAGGTTCGGAGCAGGAATACTGAGGGAAAGTTTCTTTTCAGGCTTCTGTGACCTAGGGTCTTGGGATCTCGACTCAAGTCCTGCTTGCAATGGGTTCAGGTTCAGTCACCTTGACAAAAATACCGGCTGTTACACAGGGCACGCAGTGAACATGAGGTCACACGAGCATTAATTGATCATGTAATTGAAAAAAGTAAAAAATTGGGAGCAAAAAAATTAAAAATTGGCGACGCCGACAGCTGATTTCCCAGTTTTGCACTGTGCTTAAAAGAAAGCCAAAACGCCTTTTGCGCCCGTCAGCAAACATTTCCAGTGAGACACTGAATGTTCTTGTAACAAAAACAAAAAAGAAAAGACCCATTAGTATGGCTGTAGCTGGATTCGGCGATAAATTTAAGATTCCAAGGACTCGCTAGATTGAAATGTTTTGCCTGAAGACAGCACCGGAGGCTCCTGCCTTCGCAGTGCACAAGACGCCTTGAGCTGGTCCAGAAAATTAAAGAGAGAAGTAAAGAAGGAATCCAGAGAATTTAAGATAATTAAAGAGAAAAGTAAAGAAGGCACATTTTGGTGAGGCAGCCATGAAGCGAGAATGTGTTTATGAACTTCCTGTTTTCTCGTTCGCCCTTTTAAGGGCAATGTTCATGGCATGGTACTTCAGCAACAAGAATTCGTCCGTCGTGTGATTCTTCTTATATTCTTTCTTCAACTTCTTGTAAACTTCCTTCAGTTTTTTTAGTTTGGCAGACTGAAGAAAGCTGAGGTTCTCGTCAGCGCCGCTCTCTATGTCATAATCCGTTGGTTCTGCAGTTTCCAATGGGCTTTCTCCCTGAAGAGGCATCTCCAGCTTATGTAAGACAATAGAAACCGCCATGCATGTGTCCAAGGATGGCACAATTATTATGAGAGCTGTGGCTATGATCCACAGCATACGGCTCACAGGGTTTCTCACGGCCAGGCCGATACGATGCCTGGGACGAATCATTTTGAGATCTAGAGGCTGACTCTGGTGCAGAAAGTCAATGATTTTCTAATAAAGCGTAGGTTACACGTTTAATTCATTGTATGAATTGGAATAGTTGCTGCTGAGGCAGCCTGGTCACAGTGAAACAGCTTGACCGCAGAGGCTGGCTGGCTCCGCGCCACCCGCCTGCTCTAGCTGGTCTTCAGATAAACAGTAATAGTGTCTCAGCTACACAAAACAGTGATTCATGGTTAAATTTGTGTTTTTCTCATATTATTAAATTATTTGCATGGGTGTGTCTGATTAGATCGCACTTAAAGTAGAATTTCACGTCGGATCTCGCTGCCTTTGGCTACCGTCTGGCTCACTGGAGGCCACTGCTTGCAAACAGTAGCGAAACACCACTGACTTTAGAGAAGCAAAGCCCCTGTCATACGTCATTAACAAGCTTTAAAAAAATTGTTGAAGCTTAATTTCAACAAGTTCTCTCCCTATTTTATTCCTCTTTGCCCTCCCTTCATGCTGTTGCTTGGGGAGCTTCTTGCGACGGCTGTCGATTCATGCGTGTGTGAGGTGAGTTCTTCATTGGAAACTTATAAAATAACTGAAATAAGAAGTGCATGTATGATGTGGATGAGCGTCAAGCATATCTTGTAGCTTTTGACTGTTTAAGAAGCCTCCGCTGCTGGTTGGTGCCTGTGGTGCCCTAGTGAGAGCCGACAGCTTAAAGAACCCTCAAGGGCTCTCGGCCCTGAAACTCTCGGAAGGTTCAGAAGTAGTATATTTAAAATAAAAAACGTAAACAGATATATCGTACCCTTCAATGTACTAACTTATGGATCTATCCTCTCTACAACTATCTGCACATGAGTGGCCACCAAGAAAATTTGTTAGATTCTGTTTTTCCGCCGGCGTGCGAAGCATTCTATGACGAAATATTTGTGCATATATGATAACAAGTACAATAACAGTCAAAACAATCAATTTGTTCTGCTCTTTTTCCTAGAGCGGGCATGACAGGAATTTGGTTGACTTCGGTGAATGAAGGCAGCGAACACCAGACTTCTACTAACCCTTTCCACTAGCCCTTGAACAAAATAGCATTTCTACTAGGTATTCAGAGCTAAAGCCCTAGAAACTAGAAGTTTTGAGTTGGAAGGGTCTGAAAACTCATTCGTTGACCCCAAAGTAAGCGTTGATCCGTGTTAATTTCCATGCTTTGGCCAAGTGAATATACTCCATTCTACTCCTCTTCCTCTTCCTGAGCTGGCTCTGGCTCTGCTTCACCCCCCCCCATTAGTTCCTCCTCTTCTCCTCCTTCTGCGGCTTTGCCACCACCGCGACCGGATAAAAATTCCATTACCCTTTTGATTAAGGGGATCAAAAGAGCAATAACACCCGCAATTATAAGGCCTGCGACTAGACCCCCAGGGACCATAGTACCCAACATAGATATGCCGATGAAGAGAAACGCTCCCCCAGCTAGCAGCAACTTTCCTGTTGTGCCAATGCCCTGCGCTTCTTCAACGGACTGCAGATACGAGGCACTTATTAGCTTGCAGAGCCTACCGCAAGCAGCCGCTGCTGATATTTTCTTGAAACTTTTCTCGGGGTAGAGTTTTGAAGATGACAGAAGGAATGATTGGGCTCCTGCTTCCTTTCGGTCGGATTTACGTATGTTTTTCAGTCTGTCTTTAATGGAAACCTTTGGCTTTTGTTTTGCTCTCTCTCTCATTAGTCTACTCCTCAGCACACGTTGCACAATGGCAGCCTGCAGCTCGGCGAGGCCATTTTTCGCAGTCATGAGGTAAACTGAGGCAGCTCGTGAAGCACCCATCAGGTAGGCGATAGCAGCAATTGTGGCTTTGCTGCTTGCTTGAGCACTTGGTTGTGCTGTTGCTGCTACGATTTTTGACGCCTTGCTTGCACTGGAGGCGGATTCTGTCTTGCTCTTCTTGCTGCCTCTGAACGAATCCACAAAGCGCAAGACGCCGCTCACGATCGAAGCCATGAGCACTCGGGCCATACGCGACTTGGCAATTACGTCCATTAATTTCGATCCCACGGACGCGGCCACTGTATTTGCTGAACAAAGAAAGGACAAAAGAAACAGGAAGGAAGGGGTGATGTACGAGATACACGAAAACAAGGGGGAGGAAGGAGCTTCACACCTTCTCTTTACGTCTGTTTCATATGGATGGTTTGGGGCTTATACGGAGCTAAAAGCCCTCTAGTTTCTTAATATGCAAAGAAAAAAAGCGAAGATGGAAATTAGAAAGCCTCACCGTAGGTTACATCTGCCTCCAAATCTTCTTCGATTTCCTCTGTGAGTTGCTTTGCACCGCTGAGGTTCGAAATATTTGATTCCTCTTTTTTGAGTGCGAAAGCCGGTATAGTAGCTTTAGGAACATTAATGTCATTTAATGGCTGCAGTTGAGCTTTTAAATGTGAGTCTAAAGCGACAAAGTGGGACAGAACTTGACAGTTGAATTCCTCCTGCTTTGCTGCGCAGTCTCGGATGTGCAGACTCTCAGCAAATGCACTTAGCAGCGCTTTCCGTCTCGTATCCGAAGCAGCGGCTCTTTCCCTTCTACCCTTGATGGTGAGTACTATCTTCTTCTTCGAGCAGCTCTTGAAAGAGAGAAAAAGTAGAACTAAACGGACCAGCAACGTGTCCACGTGTGGCTTGCTGCCAAGCAGGTGAGCCACCAGCTGCCACGCTCTCTAGGATGCAGCAAAACAAAATGCAAAGCACAGGCAGAAACACATGAAACTAGCAGCTATAGGAGTTCAGTAGCGCTCTCCCTTTTTCTGGTTCATATGCCTCCGTTGTTTCTTGTATTTTCTGTGCCTCTCCTCACCCAAAAATACAAATCTTTGTCCCTTTGCTTCTTGCTTTTTTTCGCCGCTTTTTCGCTTAACCGCGTGCTTTCTCGTTTGACCCTCTCGTGGAGAGTCCAACGTGTTGGGGAGTCAGCGGAATAGAGACCCTCAAGCTTCGTGATTTGTTCCCAGCGGCTTGACTCAGAGAATTCCTCAGGAGAAAAAGAAGGAATACTGACGTCCTTCAAGTGGTACTCAGAAGGGCCTAGGGAACAGAACACGAGGCAAAAATGACACAAAGAATGTGGGAAGGCTTTCAGGGACAAAGTGCTCAGCCGAACCAAAGCGCTGAGTTTTCCAATTACCTGTTCTCTCAGTGAGAAGGGGATGAACAATGGGTAAGCGGAGGTTTTGAAGGAGGCAGTCTGGACGGACACAAGAACCACGCTAGATTTCGAACACCCCAGTTCCCTCCTGTTCTTGCATTAGACAGAACAGCTGTAGTTTCACAGTGTTGTCACCAGTACATTCATCTATTTCTTTCCACCTCCTTCTGCAGCGTCAAAGAGGCAGCTCCGTAAAAGGAATGCAGCTTTAATTTGCACTTTTAGAAAATACACGCTATGCTCATGCTTACCGCCTTTTACGGGTGCGCTGCATTTTTCTGCTGCAGCCCTCAGTATAAAAATGGCTTCGTCGACGTATTTGTTGCATATTTCTCTTATATGCTCTTCCTTAAACTTTGCGCAAAATTTAGAGCCTTTTTTCCTTGCCTCATCTTCAGTATGTGCTACCACGCAAACCAGAGTACCTGAGGAACAAGTCAAATGGCAAATTAAAAACTGAGGAGAAGAGGGAACAACGTAATGGAGCTGAGGATCTTTTGAAATCGTTGAAGTCATTATTTACACCCTCACATGGAAACTGCACAGGAAGTCCAGCCTTACGAAAACCTAATCGTACTGTACACTTGCTCATGTAAATGTGCAAATAAAGCCCCTAGCATTCCCACTCAACAGCGCTTCGCTACAAATATTGTGTACTTTTAAGCACTGCGTCTCTTCTCTAAATCTGCAAACAACAAAAATATGTTGTTGCTTCTCGGTCTTACTGGAGCCCTCTGGTGATGCTACGTAGGCATCAATGGCACCGTCTACTTGTGCCTTCTGCAGCAGAGATTCTTTGCTGAAAAACTTTTTGATTTTGGAGAATATATCTTTTAAACGTCCAGCCTGAGTCAAACAGCCACAACCGCAAACAGGACCACAATTTTTTTGCCTCTTCTCACAAAACGGCCGCAGAAAAAAATAGAAAATGATCCCCGAAACTGTTAGGGTTGGGTCTTCAAGAATAACATGTGAGGAAGTGTTGTAATCTGAAGACGTACAATTCCCTTTGAAAGGCTTCTGTGAGCTCTCCTCCTCGAGGAACTTAAATCAGGAAGAGCAACCTTAGCATCATTCAGCAGAAGGTGCGGTGCCAATTCAGGTGCAGAGAAGCGATGAGATAAGGGGTTGAGGCTTTGAGTTCGGCCTAAATGGTAGTCTTGCGGAGAATTTAGCGAGGCTGAAGAGCAACAACAAAGAAAATATGCAGCTACGGGCTTTGATGAAACGTGCGAGCTCCCCAAAACTGTTAGGGTTGGGTCTTCAAGAATAACATGTGAGAAAGTGTTGTAATCTATCCTTAGACCGACTGTCAGGTGCGTTGAACGGGATAACCACGTGCAAGCACCAGGCCAAATGACTAATTTTCAACATTTATGTCTTCGTTTAACCTCTCCCGAGTAGATTCACCGGCTATGTTTGGCCATTATCAACCTTTTCTGTTGCGTCCTGTAGCTGCATTGCGAGCAACCGGAGATGGAAGGTGATTACAACAGCTTACTTGTCGCTAGACTTCCTTCTTCGCTCGCCCACGTCGATTGCCAAACTGAGGCAATTAAAAGGGCTGCCACCTGAATCATCATTTTTGAGATCCCGAACCAACAGCTGCTGTGCGAGTCAAAACTGCAGCTTCGAAGAAGATATTTAAAATAAAATATATATTTTCAGGCTCTGTAGAGCCTTAAATAGTTTTTTGAATTGCTCAAATTCACAGATAACCCGAAAATTTCTCTGTTTTCAAGTCAGCGAGCCACTCTCGCACGAGGCCTCAGATGGGAGAGAGGCAGTATCGCCGACACAGGACAAAAAATGGGCTTTCGAAACAAATATGCATTGTTTACAGGACTTTTAATGTTTGAATCATCGTAATTATGTTTTAATTTTTGTTTTTGTGATGAGTTACGTCTGTTGTGCATGCACAACAGACGTAACCTATCTCGCTCGAACTGAGCGTACAGGTGACCGCAAGACCTTTTCAAGATCTGAGGAACAATCAGGGGGGCAACCTCCCCGAAAAGCCCAGGCTTGAGGCAAAATTGCATTTTGTTCTATTATAAATTTATATTTCACGATCGAATCGTGCATTGTTCTGGCTTTTTTACTATCTCTGGTCTTCTAGGGCCCTGGGCGCTCTCCACCAGTGCTCACTGTCGGCATATGTCAACCTCAAGCGTTTAAGCGACTACAACTGGTCCCAACCATGCTGTCTTCCCTGCCCCAACAATTTCGTGTGTTTGTAACGATTATCCGGGGAAGATTACATCATATTAAAAACAGTACTCGCTACACACTATGACGAGCCAAAAGTATGGGGAACTAGAAGTCGGAGGCGGGTCCGGAAAGTCGAACCAAGACAGGATCAAGTGAAAAACGCAGATAAAACTGAATGGAGAAAGGGGGACGAAAACGAGTCTCTCTTGCGACTTTTCCGTCTAGAGCGATTGGCGCTTAGTGCGCAACCTATCTTTATTCTAAATTCCTTTCGGAGAGGGTCCAGCATAAGCGCTGCTTTCTTCTTAATCAAAAGGTGACAAGGCAAGCTTGAACAGACGCGCCTTGCCTGGAACTTAATAATAGGGGCAAATATGCAGGATCTATGCAAAGCCGAACGCCCTATTTGAACCGTCGATTTTCACATTAAAGCGGTATCATTGAGACAACCACTTGCGTCAAGAGACACAGCTAGCCAGTGCACACCCAGCGTGCTGCATCTGCATTTCACGAAGAACCAGAAGGGTGCTTTCGCTTCCTATTTCAAAATTCCAGTCGATTCTCTAATTCTCAACTACGCACTTCAGCATCAAGGCAACTCTGGCAAATCTTCATTGTCTTAAGAAAGACCCCTCAGCAGCCACCTTGTCTTACTCCTCTTTCGCAGAGGCGCCTCTCCTAATGCATACTAGCTAAACAAACCCTTTAAATGCCGCGGAATCCTGCGGAATCCACTGGTGGTCGAAGACCTGCAGGACTCTTACGATGCCTTTGGCTCTAAGCTGCACAGCTCTGTAAAGAGGCATGCGAGAAACTGTGCCGCATACATAATGGGCCAAAGCGGGAGACGCAGCAGAGCTGGGCTCAACTTCGTTCGGGCCAGACGCCGCGGTGAAGCTCCAGGGGTCCTCTAAAACGCAGTCTTTCTCAAACACTACATCTGCAATCTGCGAGCCAAAGGCACACACGTGCGCACTTCCCAAAGCAGCAGCAGTTTTTAAAGTACTTGATTCTAAAGCTGACAAGACAAAGCTTGCTGCATGCAGAAGATCTAGAGGGCAAAAGTGGAAAGGCAGTGACAAAGGGTGGCATATCCTCATCTGAGTCGTGAAACGAATCAATTTATGTCTTTATTTGCCACCTTTCGCTTTAACAAGTCTAAATAAACCAGGTGGACCTACAGCTGATGGTTTTCCATTCCTGTCTTCCACATTTCTGGCGTTGCCTTCGTCTCTCCTGCTGTGTTCAGCAGCGCATGCTTCCCTCAGGTACTGTATTTCGTTGTCAGAGAGCTTGAGAAGAGTCTGTTCATCAAAAGCTTCGAACTGCCCCAAAGCCTTTACACACATTCGGTCTAACAAGTGCTGCCGAGTTCGCTGAAACGCCTTCAGTACCCGTAGCGCATGGAGCACATCCAACTCCATTAGTTGCCGTCGGTTCTCATGAGCTTCGATCTCCTCAGGAGGAGTATCCGGGCCAACGCTGAGCAAACAGCAAAGTTGAGGAAAAGAGGCAATTAGGGAAAAGGAGTATTTACTCAGCTCCAGGGACTCAGCCAGCCGCTTCATGGTAGGCTGGCTTCAAAAAGGTTTCATATCACCCAGGTAGGAGCGCATAGGACCCTAAAGAGTAGGCGACCAGTACTTTTGACTCGCCTGTTGAGAAAGTCGTTGCATGCTTGCAGCTGGCGGTGGTATTCCTCTAGTTCGTCCTCAACTGTGCGCAGCAGCTGCGTTGGGTAGTCAGTGATAGTTTCGGCCTGCTGCAGCAGCCGCACCTCATCCGGCATGCGGCTAAGACATGCAGACTTTTCCCAGGACATCCTCTCGGGAATCCAAGATGTAGATCATCGGCTCAACGCTGAAGTTCATAAAGGACACAATAACCACCGCTAGAGCGTTGTTCCAAGCAGAGGCTCTGTCCGGGGAGGGCTCGGGAAGATCTACTGCTGAAAGTGGTTTAAATCAACAGCTTCATCTACTTCAAGGTCGAAAAACTGAAAGAAATTCGCACTAACGGTGGTTAGGAAGGTTATGAATGGTACAGTGGGGCCCGCAGCTGCCACCAACCACAACACGTCCAGCCCACGCGAGGTTCCGTATCTTTCTCTCATTTTAAGGGTCACAGCAATGTTAAAAATAATAAATTCAGCATTTAACATCTTTACTTTTACATAAGTTAGCAAATTTCAGGCCCTATAGTCGTTTCCGCCTGCAGGCGTGGCGAGAGCGGACAGGTGCTGTGACATGTGTGTTGGCTGAATTACTGCGTTCCTTCAAAAAGTACGCTTGTTATAGAGAACTTTCGATTTTTTGGAGGGTTTGACTCGGTCTGTTTGTGTTATTTCGACTTAATGGATGCAGTGATCCCCCTTAAGCCCATCTGTTTCACCTTAACAAACAGTGGGCGGAACTACCCAAGAATTCCGGATCTACACTCAAGTAAAATAAGCGGTCATACGAGCATGCAATACAACAAAAGGCACAATGTGCCTGAAGCAGACTTATAGAGGCTGATATATCTCCATGGCTCTTCTGCGCTGAAGACTACATCTCACTGATCCTCGACGAGGGAAGGCCGAGCCAAATGGAAGCAGATGCGTCATTGCCACTTAAATTTCACATTTATAAGCAACAATTTGTCTGCTGCCTTGATGTGTAACATGGTTGTATTCCTGAAGTGAAAAAAATCTCAATTCGATCGCAGTTGCAATCATTCTTAACACAAAAAAATACAACAGCGGACTTCACTCAGTTTCGCTTGCTAAAAGTAATGCAAGATGACAAAATCAAATACGTTGGTCCCCCAAAAATTTCGTTTTTTCCTGCACGTTTCTGTTTTCTCACTTGTCGGATGTATACCGTTGAAAGCACAGTCCTATCTCAAGCTCGGCGATGAAGCCAAAATCATAAGCGAAAGGAACTGCAGTTCTAGAAAAATTCTTTTCCACTGGTCTAAATTTTTGTTTTGAATGTTTCCACAATCTGCTTTGTTTTTGTTTCCATTCACGTGCCCTAGTCGAGGTGCTTTCGTTATCAGTTAGGTGTACAGCGGAATAAACACATCATTCTTAGATGATATCGCGGAGATAAGGAAAGCTTAGGAAATGTAGTAAAAATAGCCAAAGCCATAGAAGCAATTAGCTCTTGAGGAGGTAAGGGAGGAAAACTGAATGGTAAACAAAGAAGCACGGAGTCACACGGACGACAGGACATCGATGACAGCCAAAAAAGGGGCGAACAGAGAGGGAAAGATTCTCAATTTTCTATTCATCAAAGTTTCCAATAGAATAGTTTGTGTTTTTATCGTTCCTGAGAAAGCAGTGCAGCAGAAGCCAAAAAAGCACAACTTCAAGCTGGACAGAAAGGCCAGAAGGACACGAAAAACGAGGCTGGGCCGACTTCTCCGGTCATTTTAAAGACTCAACTCACGCAGAAAAAGTAGTACCTGGTAGTTGAAAGGAAGCTTTCCAATTGAAAAGACAGACAAGGAGAACCCTCTGTTTTCTTCAACGGTTTTAGAGGCCCTACACATCGCTTTCATGAGAAAAGGAACTTTGTGTGGCAGAGCGAGTGCCTTGCGCTTAAGCAAGTGCTCAAGCTAATGACTGAGCAGACTGGATATCTATTCGAGGAAGGCGTGGCCCATTTTATACTTCGAGTCATCTCAGAGTGTGTTCTTGCTTGGAAGAATTTTTTTCTTCTGTGGCCATATGAAAAGTCATATAGAAGGTATTCCGATGGAGGCAAGTGTCAACCTACTTTTGGTTTAACATTTTACAAATGCTGCGGTAGTTTAATTTAAATTTGTAGTCCATGCTTTATAAATTCGATATAAGCGCAATTGCTTCTTAAACAGTTTCGGTTCACAGGACACTATACTACGTCTACGGGGCATTACAGCACGTGCATTACTTTTGTTCAATATGACCAAAAGCTTTGTTTCGGGGGATTTCAGAGGGGCGGAAAGCACGGTTCTGAACAAGCACATCTCGGCTCACCATAAATGCTGAAAGTGTGCAGACAAAGCTGTAGGAGGTAATTGTTCAGAATCATATGCCTCTAAAAGCTGGAGAAAACATCACTCAAGCTCTCAGTATGCAAAAGAACTTTAATGGTGAGAACATAATGCGGTGAGGACAGAGTGCAATGGATTTTGATGGAAGCCTCAAAGCTCCTGAACTTTACAGCGCCTTAAAGCGCGACAAATCGAATATCAGATTAAGCCAAAGCCTGTTAAATTTTGACTAAGATGTGCCTGGTATGTTGCTGCTGCCAGGTTTTGCCAGACTTTCCAAACTAATGCTTAGCGTGTCAGTTGCACGAGGATTGGACTCAACACCGGAGCAGCAAAGTGCCTCGAAGGATACAAT